TACATTACATTGGCAGTAGGCAGGCTAAAAGGCAAGCCGTGCGTAGGTCAAGAACCCATTGGAGCGGAACTACTGACTGCGTGTTTGAGCGTGAAAAAAAATGGGTTCATAGAATGGGCAAGTGCATGACAGCAAACAGGAAAGCATCAACGGAAGCCATGGCAATGCTGTCGCCCGCTCATGAAATTGCCCTTCTGTTTCTTTACGCGCGAGGTAGCCTGCTAGAAGCGGCAGTGCAGAATGCTGATATGCCGATTTACGGCAGGACATATGTCGGAAGCTTCCACGCATAGTACGGGTAGACTTCGCAGCTCCTGTGGAGCAGGTTATATTGGTCGCACGAGCCGGTGCCTATCCAAAAGAATAAAGGAACACCTCCCAGCACGGCTAAGGAAAGGCGAAGTCAGGAGCATAAACAGCTCTATTCTGGCACATATGGTTGTCTCCGGATATCAGGTGGACCCCAACGAAGCTTTCCGACTGATCTACAAGGTCTCACCAAAATTATCTAGGGTCCCAGGGTCAGCGCCTGCTAGCAACAGCAGAAGCGACCGTTATCAGGTTGATGAAACGGCCTTGTGCAAACTGCACATCTGGCGTGGCCCACAGTCACTTAGCGATATGCACTAATCCGCGCTCTGATTGGCTCCCGCTTGTAAGAAAAGACGAAGATTATCGATCGCTTGTTCGAATTTAACCCTCCCATATAAATGTATTGGCCTGAGGATAATTTATCGGAAGTGCACACTGGCCAAATACATTTCTGAAATTCTTGACTATTGTAAACTGCCGCTGTACTATAACACCAGCTACAAACGCATAAAAAACACCGGCGGCTGAAGGGAGCATTCGGAAGATACGTTATTTGGTTATTGCTAGGCAAGTGGGAGCCAAAAATTGACAGTGTAGTCACGTGGGCAAGGGCACAGGCATTAATAGTACGTTCAGGCACACCCTTGCACTGGCAGTAGCCAGGAGAAAAGAGGCAGGCCGTGCGTAGGTAAAGCGCGCACTGGGATATTTCTGAATATGTGTGCGCGAAAAAAAGATGGATTACGGCTGCGTCGCCAAAATGTTATAACGGCGGCCAAAAGGCTGTGATATTCCCGTCTGAATAATGCCACATGTGAGCCCCCAGAGAGAGAGAGAGAGATAGAGAGAGAAAACACGACAACAAGTGTGCAGAAGCGGAAGTCTTAGTGCAAGCCTAGTACAGCATACTTAAGA